GGGGGGGGGGAGGTGGAGAGAAGGGCAGCCAGAACCTCAGCAAGAACTTCTGTAGGAGCTGGAAGAGGGATTGTAGCCTGGTGCTGCCAAAGTATACATGCCCAAAAAGGCTTCTTCTTTCTGCAGTCAAAGCACAAGTTGGCGGCCCCTGTGAACCACATCATGTACATGCCCATATCCACCTTCCTTGGAAGTTTTCCTTCTTTTTCTCCCGTTTGAGGTTGTGGAATTAGTTCTTGAGTATAAACAGGCCACTTGGGGTCCCTGCCTCCTTTGGTGAGAAGATGAATTGCACTTTGCGTAAGGGTGAGGAAACGGAGCAAGTGGAGCACAGGCACACAGACGTGTTCCTGGTGCAGCGCTTAGAGCCAAGTTGCGTAAGTGCCGGGTGTGTTGCCGAAGAGTGCAGTGGTCATTACTTCCTAGCAAGGTGTCGTGCAGATCATGCAGTAAGAAGACCTGAGAAAGGTGCTTGATGGAGACAGCATTCTCCTGCTCCCCTGCAGGGTACATTGGGTTGTTATTCCATTGCCTTTGATGCTCCCTTACATTGTCCCCTTGAAGGAGACGTAAACTACTTGAAAAGGTTATGTATAGAGCAGCTTGACTTCCTGTAAGCCTGTCTTGGATAGAAGACCCCAACAGATACTTATTTTGGGCAGTCACAACTGCAAGTTTATATTGTATCACTTGACCCAATCTTTACTAGTGCACTTTCTTGTTCCCTATCTTCCTTTTAGTTTAGATGTTCATGCTTCATCCTTTATTTTTTTTCCTTCTAATTATTTTCCTTTTACTTTCACTGTATTCTACTTTTTTTTCTTTGTTGTTTTTGTCCATACAAGGAAGCATGAGTCTGGACAATAAATTTGTTCTGGTCAGTTGGCATTGTTTTGCTGCATCTGTGCTCTGGAGCAGTCCAAGAGCAATTCTTTGTTGTTACTGCCCATTTGGGGCAGGGCAAGAAGTTGGGTGTGAAGACAATCTTTTCTTTTCCTTCACACACAGCAATTTCCCCATTGCCTTGCAAGAATGAAAAATGAAGTTAATGACTACTACATAAATCTCAGGCTACAGCTGTTCTTTTCATTACCACTGGGGAGTGCTGCACTATTTCTGTGCTGCTGCATGTTTTTCTGTGCAATTACACTGCAGAAGGTTACAGGAGTCTGTGGACTGTACTGTGACCCCTGACAAGAGTGTAATATTTATTTTTTAAATTGGTTGATCAGTTGTGTGCTGTGCTGTTGAACTTGTCTGAAAGTAATGGCATTTTTTCCAGAATTGAATTTTGTTTATACATTTAGTGGAGCAAAAGCAGTATGCTGTTAATTGAGGTAATAAACATGCTTTTCTGGTGTGCCATAAGCAGAAATCCAAAGCAAGTCATGTATATGAATGGTGTGGAACTGCAATACATTGAGTAATAAATATTCCATTCAGTCGTCAAACCTTGTAAGAACTTCAACTAAATGAAAAAGGCAATGTGTCTTATATCCACACGCTTGCCACTGTGGGAATTCTGTAGAAATGAGCGTTGTAAACATTTTTTCTTTCATTTTGACAGGTAATATTTGAAGCTGAAGTCTCAGATGGGAGAAATGGCTACATTGCCATTGATGACATCCAGGTTCTGAGTTACCCTTGTGGTAAGTAATGATTAAGAGCTGCATTTTTCTCTGTCTTTTCAGGACATATTTGATATTGCTGTAGACTGCTGAGTTTTCATCACTTGATCACTGATGTTCTTTGTTCTTTCAATAGTATTTTTGTTGCGGCTTCCAGGGGAAAATGTAGTGTTGCAGTAATGATTTACCTGGGTAAAATCTTTGTCTGCCAGTAAAGTATACAGGAATATAAGAGCAGAAATTATTCAATGTCTTTTTAGTCATACCATAGTTAGTGTGCATAATCAAAATGGGTTTCAATGTTAATGTGTACACTCACTGATTAAAGAAAACCAAATTGGCAGATGCGTGTAGGAGGTTTATCAGATTTCATGCCCTTTTTCTTTTTCTTTTTTCTTTTTTTTTTTTAATTTTTTGGGTTTGTTTTTAAAAAAAAAAAAAAAAAAAGCTTCTGGCTCTTGAACTACTGAAGGATTGGGTTTTTTTGTTTTGGTTTTGTGGACAGACTTCAGGCATTTGTGTTTGCCTTTCCCAGCTTAATCCTGGGGAAGAAACACAAGTTTGCATATAAATACTAATATGAATATTCTACAAATGAAAAGTTGTCATTTGTTATCACATTTTTTCATTAATTTGGTTCTGTTCAACTCTTCTGATCTTCCCCTAGACATCCCTTCTCTAAAATGTAATTTCATTATAATGTACCTCATGGCTGATAATTTAATTGCTTTCTGAAATGATTAAGATATAAGAACGCCCTCCCCCAAATTTGCAAAACAATGCCAAATAATAAAGTTGCAATGGCAACCTCACGTGTTTTTTTTTTTTTTTTTCTTCTACCCCAAAGCTGTTAAGACCATAGGTCTCAGGGGCTACTAAGCTTAGAAGGTATTGCAGTGAGTTACCTCTTTATATTTCATACAGCCCAGCTATCTGTTGTCTGTACTCAGCAAAGCTCTGCTCAGATTCAGTATCTGGCTTTCCTTTTTTTTTCTTCTGGTCTTTTTTTTTTCTTTTCTTTTCTCTTCGTGTTTTTTTTTTTTTTTTTAAAGTACCAAAACAAAAGGCACTTATGTACACCCATGATGGCAGATTATCAGCATGATACAGTATTCAGATAAGCTCTTTTTTGTTACTGATGTTTAAACCTTGTTTGTTCCAATTTGCTGTTTTTTTTTCCTTTGTGGTGGTTTTTTTGGGGTTTTTTTTTGTTGTTGTTTTTTTTTTTAAGTAAACACAAAGAAATAGCAGTTCAGCTCCTGTTTTCATTAGTAGTTATTGAGAAAGGGATGGGTGAGAGCTGTGTAACGTACCCATTCCTCAAATGTGTCTGTCAGCTTTCTTACCTCTCATAAATCCTTCAGGTGGTTGTGCCACTAAGCTTTCCTAGGGGCTTTGTCAGTGTAGGAAATAGATTTGTCAATTCCTGAAATACTATATTCAATGGCACAAATGATCTCCTTCAGTAAAACAACAGAGCTCTGAGTTACATTGCAAATAATCGGAATAGTATCTCTCTATTTGCCTGAGCAGTATCCTGCTAATTGGGTTTTTCTCAGTGTGATGGGTTTCATATAATTGAAAGTCTTTGGGATAATTTTTGTAAAGTGCTGCTGATGTTTTGGCATTTGATCTCCTTCTCTTGGCTTTGATTTTTAAAAGACTTTATTATAACTCATGTATAACATGAAGTTAGTAGAATCACCAGGGGAGAAGGGAAAGGACTGAAAGCAGTCTTTCTTCTTGAACAGAGATGAAACAAATAATCTTCTTTCTTCTGTTTCTGTTTTTTAGCCAAAGGTTGTTATAATACGCATCTTCAGGGAGACAATAATGTTGCTGGCACCGTTTTTAGCAATAAGTGCTATTTGTAATTTTTGTTTTCCCCCTCTGCAGATAAATCTCCACATTTCTTGAGGCTGGGGGATGTAGAGGTCAATGCAGGGCAGAATGCTACATTTCAATGCATTGCTACGGGGAGAGATGCAGTGAATAACAAGTTATGGCTCCAGGTAAGGCCAACTCATGCAAGTCTATTTGGCTAGAGGACAGGCTGCTTCCAGAAAGTGAAATATTTAAATTCCTAAGCCTTTTTTTTTTTTTTGCTTCTGCATGTAAAATATTTAAGTTTAAAATTAATTTTATCTCTGTTAAATGGAGAAACTTGAAATCACTTTTGTAATGTGAAAAAGCTTGGATTGAAAATTAGAACAACTGGTGTGGACAGCGGAGGACGGTTGGTCTTGAAGGCATTGTGGGCCTTCTCTCCTTGCAAATCAGTTCCTCCGTATCAAAATTTATTATCGTTAAATGCAGATAGTTGGCGTTTGGGATCTAGTAAAACACAGATGTAACACAGCTGTCAGAAATTTTGAGAATTATTTTATCATATAAATTACAACTAATTCTTTGTCCAAGCAGGTGGCTGGAGGGATGTGGCTGTACTTCTGTGTCCATCTCAATTTTACTCAGTAGCGTATTTAATGGGGAAACATAATAGGACCGTTGCACATCCTTTTTCTCTGTCTCCATAATAGGAAGAACTTCAAATTTTATCTATGTTTAATTGTGAGAAGTATGTATGTGGGGTGAGTTGACCCTGGCTGGATGCCAGGTGCCCACCAAAGCCAGTCTATCACTCCCCTTCTCAGCTGGACAGGGGAGAGAAAATGTAATGGAAGGCTTCTAGGTCATGATAAGGACAGGGAGCTCACTCAACAATTACCGTCATGGGCAAAACAGACTCGACTTGGGGAAATCAGTTTAATTTATTACCAATCAAATCAGAGTAGGATAATGAGAAATAAAACCAAAATCTGAAAACACCTTCCCCCCACCCTTCCTTTCTTCCCTGGCTCAATTTCACTGCCCCCGAATTCTCTACCTGCTCCCCCCGAGTGGCGCAGGGGGACACGAATGGAGGTTGTGATCAGTTCATCAAACATTGTCTCTGCCACTCCTTCCTCTTCACGGGCAGGACTCCTTATATTCTTCCCCTGATCCAACGTGGGGTCCCTCCCATGGGAGACAGTCTTCCACAAACTTCTCTAATCTGAGTCCTTCCCATAGGCTGCAGTTCTTCACAAACTGCTCCAGTGTGGGTCCCTTCCGTGGGGTGCATTCCTTCAGGAACAGACTGCTCCAGTCTGGGCTCATCTTTCCACGGAGTCACAGGTCCTGCCAGAAGCTTGCTTCAGTATGGGTTTCCCACTGGGTCACAGCCTCCTTCAGGCATCCACCTGCTCCAGTGTGGGGTCCTCCATGGGCTGCAGGTGGATATCTGCTCCACCATTAACCTCCATGGACTGCAGGGGGACAGCTGGCGTCACCATGGTCTTCCCCACGGGCTGCAGGGGAATCTCTGCTCCAGCGCCTGGAGCACCTACACCCCCCACCCCCCACCCCCCTTCTTCACTGCCCTTGGTGTCTGTGGAGTGGTTGCTCTCACATATTCTCACTCCTGCAGCTGCAGTTACTGTTGTGCAGCTGGTTTTTTCCCCCTTCTTAACTTTGTTATCCCAGAGGTGCTACCACCGTCGCTGACGGGCTCAGCCTTGGCCAGCGGTGGGTTCTTCTTGGAGCCGGCTGGCATTGGCTCTGTCTGACACGGGGGAATCTTCTAGCAGCTTCTCACAGAAGCCACCCCTGTAGTCCCCCAGCTACCAAAACCTTGCTATGCAAACCCAATACAATATATTAGAATCTAAGAGATGACTAAAACCAGAAAATAACCGTTCTCACTAAAAAACAAGAAAAAAGAAGAAACCAACAACGCCATCCGCCCCAAAACAACCGTTTTGCTTTGTGGTGCGGGAATGGGGTTAAAACCACCAATTAAGTAGAAGGTTGGCAAGGTTTTATAGCTGCTTCTTAACGAATTAAATTTTGCCACTTAAGGATTAAAAAATCACTTTAGTTGTATGTGTACCTTTATGTGTATGCTTTAGTTTGTACATAAACCTTAAGCACCAACACTCTTTTAGAATCATTTAAAACTTTATTTCTTTTAAATGTGTATTTCTGCACATTTGCAGAACTGTAAAGTATATACTTTTTTGGAAACATTGTACTTTGAAATGAACCATAATCAGAACTTTAAAATATCTATTTATTTGGCAAGCATTGTACTTTGAAATGAACTATAATCAGTTACTTCAATCTGTTTGATTTTTATTTTAATAAAGAGTGGAGCTGACAAACCTTGAGTAACAGTTGCGTACAAGCATGAGATAAACTTAACATTTTAAAGAGATATTTTTTAATAGATAGAATGAGATGAGATGAGAAAAAATCCGATACGCAAAATGTATTACTGGACAAGTATGTCGCAACATTAAAAAAGGAACACAAACCTAGCAGTAACTGCATTGCATTTAGTGAAAAGGTATCATAGCAGTAGGATTGATTTGTGCTCCATGTCTTTGAGTAGTAATTTGTTTAAATTGAGCAGACATACAGTGCATTCATTGAGGAAGAGGAGTTTGATTTCAGAGACTTGCCAAATAGAGCGCACAAAGCACGCAAATGAAATTAAACTGGGGTTTGCTAGATCAAAGGCAGGACTATAACAGCAGGAGCATACCAGCAAACCCATGAAGCACCACCTTCAGTAGATCATGGGTCAGAAAAGCCCAGTGGAGACAGCTAACTGGGAATCTTCCCTATCACTCGTTCCTCAGAGTCAGATAACTCTGACAGATGATCCTCGCTAACTTCCACTCCTCTGAGAAGTCCAGTTAGCAGCCAGAACAACTCACAAAACATATGTTTTGTACCTCCATATACTTCAAGGGTGGGGGTTATTTTGTGCATGGATCACAGATGTGGCAATTTCTTACAGTGCGAAACATAAGGTACCTATGAGGCTATAACTCTGCTTGCTTGTGCTTATGAAGTGCTTTGATATTCTTGAAGATACCTTGCTGCTAAAATTATGTACTTGAACTTCCATTCCCCTTCTTGTTTCCCCTTAAACAGCGCCAAATTTTCGCCAATTTAAAGGTGACTCATTTTTTTCTTCCACCCTCATTATTCCACCACTCCATCAGTCTTTTCCAACATAAGCATGAATCAGCAGCTTTCCCTCTCTGAATTTCCTTCCTTAGATAACACAGCAGTTACTGCTGTTGTGTGCGGCTGATAGTGAATTGACTCCTTTTCCTTGAAACCTGGAGTGGATATGTATGGGCCTCGTGAGGCTCTGGAGAGTGACTTGGAAAAGGTTCACTTTAACCTTTGACCACAGTGGAGATTCATAATGCCCAAATACCCAGAAAGGAAGAACCGGCAGATCAAATCAAATGCCTAAGTAATTGTTTTTGAGATCCCTGAGCTGAAACATTCTAGGAATGTATTTTTCTCATAACAAGAAAGGCCATTGGAAATAATAAAAAAAAAAAAAAAAGTGCAAAAATGAAAAATGAGAGGGGGTTGAGGGGGAGAATACACTTTCCAAGTACACGGTGTTAGAGAAAATAGCTTTTGGTTATGTCCTTATTGAAAGAGAGAAGATATTTCCTTGAAAAAAAAAAGAAGAAACAGCGGCAATTTCCTATTAAAACACATTCTTTGATAAGTAAAGATCTGAGGTACAATCTGGGACAGTAGGGTTTTTTGTATCAGAAAAGATCTAAGATCTCATTTGGTTGCATTGAAGTAATAGAGAGATGTGCAGGCACAGATTTCGTTACAGTCTCTACCAGTGCTCTCTGGCTCTCCCAGCTCTCTGTTTTAAAGAAGAGTGAAGTAAATTCAGCAGTGGGGGCAAAAAAAAAATAGCAGCCGCCTGGCTGTGTGTTTGGAGTTGTGCTGTCCCAGGGTGCAGCCCTACAGCTGCTTCAGCCAGGCTCAGGCTTTGCCATCCTCATCCCTGTGTGCACTGACGCTGGAGCTTTTGGAGGTTGCCAGTAAGTCAGCGCAGGAAAGTGATCTGGCTGAAAAAAATTTCGGGCCAAATTGGATTTTTGGTTTTGGGAGTGGGACAGTTTGGTTTGGTTTCTGGGTTGGTTTGGTTTGTTTTTTTTTTTTTTTATTTAGTTACTTTTTAGCTTCATTCATGTCTCAGTTACCTATATAAATAGTGCCAGCAGGTGGAAAAAGATGGGGATGTTTGGTTAGAAGCAAGGAAGAGGGAAGCATTATAACAACCTGAACTGAAGTAAAAGTAGATCTCAGTAGTGTGTCTCATTGTAGTATCCCGTGTAAACTTTAATTTATTTTTTAGTTACTGGAGAAAAAGCCCTGATCGTATACTAGACAATCTGTGTGTGCGCATGTTTCCATGCTTATGTTTTTCTCAGTGCATATATAATTAAGTGCACATATCTTTGTGTGTCTGAAAATAAAAATGGCTAAAATAAGTACAGCATTTCAATACACTGTTTCCTGTGTATTTACTTCTGTAATGACAATCTTTTCATCAACTCCCTTTTCTATAAATGTACATCTGTAAACATTTCGGACAAATAGGAATTAACATTGAATTGAACTTCTCCTGACTTTCATGGCTACAGATTCTGCTCTTGTTTGTTTTTAGATTGTATCTGGTCTCTCATCCCCTTTCATACCCTTTCCCTCCCACGCCTGCTTTTTGCAGACCCACTGGACCAAGGTCTGGGACAGTCAGAGCTCTGCCATTGAAAGATAAGCAGTTAAGATAACAAAAGTCTTTAAAAGTTGCAGTTGCATTAATAAGAAACAAATATTTGCACAGATAAAGGGATTTAACTGGTTGAATAAGATGATCTGAAACACACCTTTTGTGACAGTGTGAATAGTAGATGTGGGAGCGGGACAAAAATGCAGCTCTTGATTTTTTTTTTTTTTTGTGTGTTTTTGTTCTTCACCTTTTCAACCCAATCTACTATCGAATCTATTCCAGTTGTGAGCTGAAGGATTCTCTTTATGACCTGCAATTATTAGCAAATTCTGAAAGAGTTTCAAAGTCCTTAGGTTTTTTTTGAAGTGAGCATTGATGGTGTTACTGAAATACATTTGGTCTTCGTGTATATTA